TCTCCTTTCTCTCTCATCTTTAAACCGTCTGCATTTCCTTTTTGTTTTTATTGAGTTTGTAATTTTGTTTGTCCCAGGTTTGCTTATGGCGCCTATTGTGGCTTAATGAGCTATTCAAACGGAAATTTCCCTTGCTGGACCTTTTTGTTTCCTGATACTTCTCTCAGGGCAAAGATCCCACTGGGGCTGTTGGTCTGCCTTCCCATCTGGCTTCTTCAAGAACTGTATTAATCTTTCTGTCTCCTTCATGTCTCCACCTCTTTTCTCTCTCAGCATCCTCTAAATCAGGTTCCATATTTGCTTTTATTAATCTCCCCACTAGAGCAATGGTCTGCAAACTTTTTCGGCAACGAATCAGATAGCAAATATTTTAGACTTTGCGACTACTCAGCTGTACCACTGTAGCACAAAAGCAGCCTTATACAATAACTTAGGAATGACTGTGGCTTCCTTCCAATAAAACTTCATTTTTGAGAAGTGAAATTTGAATTTCATTTGATTTCCACAAGTTACAATTATATTTTCATTTGAATCTTTTCCCTAATCATTTATAAAATGCAAAGCTACTTTTAGTTTATGTGTCATATAAAAACAGGTGGCATTCTGGATTTGGCTTATTAGCTGACGTCTGCTCTGCAGGCTCCATGTTGGGCTTCTTCTCTCCTGTCTTGAATCTTTGCTTTAAAAAGGAGCCTCAGGTCTTCAGTACACAGCTCCAAGCAGCTTTCTTCTTTGAACCATTATCAGTGTATAATTTAGCATATAGAAAACAGTACATTTTAGTTATTCAACTCTTCTCTTTCAATATCTAGAAACTGTTCGAGATCTACATGCATTTTGAGTTTTATTTTATATGGATTAAATGGTTTTCTTATTTAATATAATACATATGTTATGTGGAAATATTTTCTTTTGGGAGAGGATATCTCTTCTATACCACTTGGATTCCTTCACAGCCTTGTAGACAATTGCAAGATCATTTGTCTTAAAAAACATTTTTCTAAAACCATTGATGCTTTCTTTGCACAAAAAGTTTTGTTTAGTCAGGCACAGCTGTGTACATATGTAAACTCAAGGACTGCAGATTTGAGCCCAGCCTTGGCAGTTTAACAATTTAGCAAGACCCTGGCTCAAAACAAAAAAATTTAAAAAGGCTGGAGATTCTGGTTAGTGCAAAGGTGTAATTACCAGTACTGGGAAGTATTTAACTGACTACCTTCATTTTAAAATACTTTGTGCACTAAAATACTTCAGATTGCTTGCCTCTGATTATTGATGTTTCCATTACAAGAGTCTGTAGTTAAGTGATACAGGTCATAAGTTATTTTGGGATATCATCTAATAATCTTTAATTTTAAAATGTATACATTTGTCCAATGTCTTATAGGCTGAGTTACCTCCATAAATATTCTTTTAAAACTACATTCAAATAAGTAAAACAAACTTACAACCTTAGGACCAGAAAACGTTAAGATTCTGAGTGTTATGATTGCTCTTTAGCTGTTGGGATGGAAACTGTCATAAATGCCAGAAAAGGGAAGGGAACCAACATGTATTGAACTACTGGTTTACATTAGTTTAACTTTCACAGCTCTGCAAAGTCGTCATTTTTATCCTTTGTTCAGGAAAGGCTTTAGTAACTTTCCCAAAATAGCCCAGACTTAAACCAGAGTGTGTGTTCATACAAACTTCTCTGCAAAGACTCAGCTTGGAAAGAATAACATTTGGGTACAGTAATCAAAGTAGTAGTAACTGCCCATTATCTGTGGTTTCACTTTCCTTGGTTTCATTTACCTAAAATCTGAAAACTTTAAATGGAAATTTCAGAAATAAACAACTTATAGACTTTATTTACTTGTTTCTCATTGCTGGTGATCAAATCCAGAGTCTCGCACATGATAACAATTCATCTATTTTAAAACGCCATTCCCTGGATAAAAAAGATGTATTTTTATACAATGGAGTAATACTCAGCCATAAAGAAGAATAAACTTGAAGGTTTTATAGGTAGAGGGATGCAACTTGAGACCATACTCATAAGTGAAATAAACCAGACTCAGATATGCAGTTATCATATTGTCTCTCTGATGTGAGAACTGAAAGAGCAAATAAGGTCTAAAATATACAATAGGTATTTAAAATGGAAAGAAATTGTTCAAAAGGAAAAAGGGACTAGGATGGGGAAAGGAAAGAAGACAGGAGGAAAAGGAAAAAACTGCAAGTCAGTTATACTATGAATGTTTCTTGGTTCATTAGAAAGGAAAGTGTGTGCTAATATTGATTGGAGCAATTCTAATGCCTATATTTTGTACTCTGAGTAACTACTTTAAAGATAACTATATGACGTATAATGACTATTCCTATTTGTCTACTATTTTGTTATGAAATTTTGTTTTAGCCTTTTTTACACAAAGTAAGAAAAAGTACCATTCTTAGTAATGGGTCGAGTTTTGTACTGTTCTGTCCAGTGCTGAGTGTGAATCATTCTTTTGTCCAGCATACCCATACTGTATACACTACCCTCCCGTAAGTTCCTTAGAAGCTCTCATGATAAACAGAATGATTGTCCTCTCCATAGTGCTATGTTCAAGTAACTCTTATGTAACCTAACATCACCTCACAAAGCCTGCCTCATTTATTATGCAATTCATTAATGAATCATGAATTAATAATATCTTATAATTATCAGATTAATTCATCAAGAGTTATTTATCTCATGTGAAGCATTGTATCAGGTCACATCATCACAAGAAAATTGAATACAGTTAATAAGATATTTTATATCAAAGGTATCACCTTCATATAACTTTTATCATCATATTTTGTCACAATTGCTCTAGTTTATTAATATTTATTGTTAATATCTTACTATGGATACTTTATGAAGTCTTCTTTATTATGTGTGTGTAAAAAAGAAAACATACCACGTATGTATGTGTGTGTAGAAAACATATTATGTGTGAGTTTGGTAATATGCACTGTTTTTGGCATCTCTTGGAAATTCTGGTGTTATGAAGTATGAAGATAGATATCTTGTCTATTGCACTCTTCTGAAGGCAACTAGACACTAAAATGACTGAAACCTTCATCTGAAACAATTACATTAATTAAGCATTTATTTCTTCTTACCAATGCAGGTAGAAATGACTTTTTACTCTGATATTACATTTCCTTAGGAAAACAAACTCACTCCTGAAATTTATTTTGACAGTATAATTTGTGATAGGATTCCTTTGCAGACTGCTTCACATTTATCCAATTATCTCTAGGTATTATTCTTTGATATTTGTTGGAGCAGACCGCTGGGAGCCCCCTGTTCTACAGATGTCAGACAGTGATTTAAGTGTTAGGATTCTGAATTTTAAAACTTTGATTCCACAAAAATACCTGCTCAAGCAGGGAATGAAAGTACTTTTTCTTTGCTCAGCTCTTTCATACCTTCTCCTGTAAATATGCCTTTATCCTTCCCCAGCACACATTCCAAATTTTAAACAGAGAATGGGCCAGGTGATATTGGAATAAACATTTCTTAACTTTTGTTTTAAAGGTATTTAACTTCTAACTTTTAAATGTTTTAATGTTTTTAGATATGTTTTCTTAAAAGAAACTTCATAATATCTACTAAAATTAGTCAAACAAGTTCCTTTTTTAATTGCAAATTTGATTGACACTTTACCATTCCTGGAGTATTACAATCATTTAGCAAATATTTTTCTTTCAATATATTTTGACTGCATATTTTCAAGACAATTATAATGCTATACGAAACAGGTATGTAAAATGATGGGCAACAAATGCAATATCATTGAAAGACAAACTTAAAAAAACCCAGATGTCATAGTCTAAAATTTCAAAGGTGAAAAGGGATTGACATGCAGCTCTTAAAGTCATTGATCATTTCAACAGGTGACTGTGATTATCTTCACTGAAACTGAGGGTCTTAGTGCAATTTTAAATTGTAGGAGAAGAAACTTACCACTAATAAATTTAGATGAATATGTTTTTGTTCGAAATAGGTTTGGCTACAAGCAACAGAGGACTGAAGATAACACTGGCTTAGACAAATTTAGATGAGTTTATCTCTCTCTCAGGAGACCAAAGGTACTTGGCTCCAAGATAGTTTGCTGGTTCTGCAGTCAAATCATCAGGGCCCTGAGCTCTTTCTTGCTGAGGTTCTGTCGTCCTCACTGTGATAGGTTATGTCCTAAGGTAGCTTCTCAAGATTCAGCCAGGAGGGAGGATCAGCAAGAAGGAAGTGGGGCAAGCCCTGTATCAGAAGCGATACCTGATACTTTTCTACCTAAGTATCACTGGAAGAAACAAGTTGTGGTGCAGAGATTTGTTTAGGGATGATGACAATGGGTGGGACTGATGGTTGTACAGTAAGTGTACTTATTTACTGTACTCTTCAAAATGGTTAAAATTGTATGTTTTGTGTTATGTATGTTTTACCACAAACAAACTCAGTCATCTAGAAGGAGAGGAGGCTGGGAAATACGATCTTTATTTTGGATAGCCATTAGCTTTTTCAAAATCTGAGTTTCCAGCCAGGTGTGGTGGCATGTCCCGTAATCTTAGAACTTTCGGAGGTTGAGGCAGTAAAACTGTGAATTTGAGCCCAACCTGGGCAACTTAGCAAGACTACGTATCAAAATAAAAAAGGATGCAGCTTTGTGTGAAGGCAGCGAGTTCAGTCCTCAGCACCACCAGAACCAGACCAGAACAGAATAAAACAAAACAAAACAAAACAAACAACTGAGGTTCCATTACTGATGAAGAAAAGCAAATATTGGGGATGCCTGCCAGTCTTTGAAATATGTGCAATTGCAGAAAATAAAAAGAACAAATGTTAAAGAAATACACAAGTCATTTTTGGCTTTTGGAGAGAATTGTTATGGGGGATTAATTAGTATGTTTTTATCAGAAGCAAAAGAAATACAGTAAGTCAAATCAACATTTGGTGTTGAGTCCAGAATACTTATGTTCTTTTGTTTATTCAGTGGCATTGCCAAAGCATGGAACCAGGCATATTTTGGGGAAGGATCTGGCCCAATATTGTTGGATGAAGTACACTGCACTGGAAATGAGCTTTCAATTGAGCAGTGTCCAAAGAGTTCCTGGGGTGAGCATAACTGCAATCACAAAGAAGATGCTGGAGTATCCTGCACTCCCCTTACAGGTAAGGGTTTCACCATCTTAGCGTACCAGCCCTCACCTCAGGACCATTTGGACTTGCCAAACTTTTTTGCTCCTTGAACATGCAAATAAATACCCTAAATGAAACAAACAAACAAAAAATCTAACACAAGCTGTATTAGTAAATGCTACCTCCTTATTCTGGGATGTTTCTGAATTTTTCAATTTAAAGTTGCACAGTTCTGTAATACTAGATTAAAAATATGACTTTGTTGCAAAACATAGTGCATGGTAATCAAAACCAATGTGCAACGATAAATTTCAGGTAGTGTGTACTACAAGGACATGTTTCGTTAATTCATCTATTAACCAGTCTTTTTGTCAGAATGTGTTTATAGCTGGTATAAAGCTGTATTGATGTGACTTTTGAGTAAAGCTACACTATTAATGAAAACAAGGAGCTTTGCTGTGATTAATTTTCCCACAATCCCAAACTGCAGCACGCCTATCCATCTAGGTCACATAATATAGGAAGGATATGTCTTGAGTGCAAACTGTTGTGTGTGTATGAACTTACATGTTTAGAGGGAAAAAGAAAAGCTATGAAAGAGAATTTGCAACATCACAGATCTGTTGTTTCTTGTCAAAGTTAACTTGATGGGAGATGTTGTCTAAGATTACTTTACAAAAAGTCAGAGTATCTTCTTAGGGCTTACAGAGTATTGAATTTACACTTTTTAATAAAATCTCCACTGCTGTTTTTATTAGCAGAATAAAACATTATATACAATAGAAATTTATAATTTATGCTGAGCTAAGCTAGAGTACTTTATTTTCTTGAACTGTCATTTTCTCTTTCAAACGATGAGAGTCTTGTATTATTGCTAGGATGGTCAGATGAGGTAATCTGTGTCACAGTGCTTTGCATACTAAAATATTTTATTAATCAATGATTGCTTCTGTGAGATTTTTGTTTGCTTTAAAAAATCCCAGAGAGTCATAAAGTGTGACCTTCACCCAAATTATTTATGTTTCACAGAGGCAGAGGGGTTGAATTAGCTCAGATGGAAATGGCTTTTAAATTTACTTTTTAAAATGAAATTTATGTTCTGTGCTTCTGCTGAGAATCTTTTTATAGAATACTCTGGAAATTAATTATTCATTGAGTTAATAAGATTCAAATTTCAGATCTGTATTATCAATAAAAAAACAGAGGCAAGACATGTACTATCATTTTTATAACTTATGAATGCCTAAGAAATAATACATGCATTGACATGATAGATTTTTCTTTAACCAGCATAGCCTTTTCTGTCTTCATATTTCAGTATTTTTTATTTGCAGCTAAGATTTTGCAATATTTTTGAGTTACTATGTTCTATTGCTTTTTAAATGTGTCGAACCAGTATTGCTTAAATTTATGGAGATTGCAGTTATGGGAAATTTTCTCAATATTATTTTAATTTAGAAAAGTCAATGTAGATTGTTAGGAATTTTATCAGAATATGCTCTCTACTCATGCAGTGGGAATATACATATTAGGACAGATAGATATTGTGGCCAACTTCAGAAACACTGCAGTGACCGCAGGCTTTTGAGAACAGTTGTAAGTTTTACAAAAGGCTGAGCAGGAATACGACAATGCTTGTAAAATGAACATTTTGCTTTGCTTTGCCTTTTTTGTGACTTAATTTGCTGAGTCCAAGTGTCGCCTTCTTATTACAGATGGAGTCATCAGACTTGCAGGAGGGAAAGGCAGCCATGAGGGTCGCTTGGAGGTGTACTACAGGGGACAGTGGGGTACTGTCTGTGACGATGGCTGGACTGAGCTCAATACTTACGTGGCTTGTCGACTGCTGGGATTTAAGTAAGATCCCATTGAAATGAGATTGCTGAATGTCAAGTTATACCTTTAAAAGTCTCATCATGTAATTAATCTTTACTTGAAATTTCTGTAATACTAAAATACATGCTTTTTGTCTTTTTTTTTTTTTTTTTTAGTATTGGGGATCAAACACATAACCTCATGCTTATCAGGCAAGCACTTGAGCCAGTGAGCTAAACCTCCAGCTCATGTTTGTCATCTGCGTATCCTCTATCACTTATTTTCCTACGTACTTACCTACCCTCCTACCTACATATGAAAGTGCAATGATAATTCAGTGACATTCTCCAAAATGACGAAAGGCCACTGCTCACCATGTATCTCTTCCACCTTCCTTACCAACAGTGCTCTTCTTGACTAAATTGGTCAAGGCCAGGGGTCACTTGTAGGTCATTTGTGTCTATTCAAGTGAGACTGAATGGTTGATTTCATTCCACACATCACTGCCATGGGATGTTGTTAGTTTTGACATTACTGGGTTTAAAACCCGCAGCAAAGTCCAGTGTCAAATAGTTTGGTATTACATTATTTCCTTTCTCAGAAAGAGATGATAATTATCACTTTTATTTGAGAAAAACAGCTCTCTTGTCATGAGATGGCCTTTAGAACTCACCTTTAACCTCACCCATTCAACAGCTGAGTGTCAAACGTTGAGTGATATATTTCATGTCACATGCATAATGCATTCCAGAGCAAAGTAACTGCAGATAATGCCTTTGAGCCAAATATTTGAATGATGACTATAAAGGCCCATTCTTTTTTTCTTCATATTTCTACATGCTTGAACTAATAGTCTCGTACTTGAAAAAAATTGGCAAAATTATTTTATTTCAGCTTGAGCTATAAATAGTTGCAAATATTTGCTAAGCCTTAAAAAATATACTTTTGAAAAAAATATACTTTTATTTAACCTAGGCAAAGTGTGTTTAAGCATTTATTAAAGTAATATAAATCAGAGAAAGTTTGGGAAAAAGAAAATTGAAAAGCTAACCACAATTTTCCATTTTTTAGTATTGTAACTTATATGTTCTAGCGTCACTTGTCAGTCTCCCTTCTAGCCTGTGAGGTTTCTGAGGGTACATCCATGCCTTTTCTCTCACTCATCTCAGTACTTTGCTAATTCAAGTTGTCTTTGCAGTAAAGTTGTATATATAAGAGTTTTCTCATTAGAATTGAATTTTGGTCTTTAATTTCAGGTTCTGCCTTACCAGGATATTTTATATCAGGTTTAGTAGAGAACATAAAATTTTTGTATGTACTTTTTAAATTGTTATATTGCTACATAATCACAAGTTTTAATGGTAAAATAATATGCATTTAGATTAATTTTTTAGATTAAAAATTTTCATTTTCCTAGCTTGGTTATAAATAATGATAACAGGAAGATACAAATGTATATAACTGCCCCACATGCTGAATTTTCCATGCGCAGAAAAGTTATTGAAAGTGATTAGGTCAAAAGATATGATGCAACATACAAATATTGACATTTGATTAATGACATTAATTTAATTAAATTTATTGATATTTAATTTAACTAATAAAATGCATGTTATCTTATGTTTAGATGAATCTCTGTTACACTAACATTTGTACCTTCTATTTACAGATTTAGGAAATTCATGTATTCCATTATTTGCCAATTATTTCACATTTTTTTCTTTATTAATGAAAAGAATCAAGTGATATCCATATTTTTTCCATATTGTATTTATTTTATATCTTAAAGCCATTAAGGTTTTGTATTGCATACACCGAGTGCTTAGATTTCTTATTTCTAAAACATCCTCAATAATGTGTTAGAAGTTCTGTACAATAAGATGTGCTACTATTACTTTTAATTTTAAGACATTTTTGAAAGAGGCTTTTCTTGTGGAATGAGAAGTAAGTTTGGGTATCTTTGTGCAAATCAATCCCAAATAAAATAACTTCATGTTATATGTCATATAGTTGAAATAGAAAATCATCAGATTGATAAATTTTCTGGAAAAATGATATAAATTGAAAGTGATAGCAAAATGGAATTTAGGTTAATTACTTTCTAAGTATGACTTGATTAGCAAAATAGGAAAAAATTAAAATCATTAATTAAAAGTTGCATTGTTTTAATTTGGTTAAATTGGTTAAATAAATTTAATAAGAGGTTGCATAGGAAAACAAACTCATAACAGATAGAAAGTTTTCTTCATATTCTTAATATAGAAATAACAAAATATCAAGTAAGAAACTGATTGCCACACACTCACGACTTAGTTGAATTTCTTCGACATAAAAGACATCTAAAGATCTTTAAGCTCAGTGACTTCTGAAGGTTTGGAGTTTATGGAACAAAAGAAAACGAGAGCAGGGCAAAAGAAGTTGCAAACCAAATTAACTGCCAGTTTAAAAATATTTCAGATTGATTTATTGAAAGATTTACTCGTGTGACCAATATCTGAGAAAAACAGCTTAAAAGAGGAAGTTTATCTTGGCTCATAGTTTTAGCAGTTTTAGCCTGTGGTTGACTGGCTGTGTGGCTGTGGACCTCGGGGCAGGCAGAAACATTGTACAAGGTGAATGTGTTAGAGGAAAACTGTCCTCCTCACTGCAGCCCAGAATCAGAAGGGTCAAGGTCAGAGGGGAAGAACTGGGATCAGCCTATACCTTCAAAGCCATTCCCTGGTGACGAGTTTCCTTCAGTTAAGCCCCACCTCCTAATAAGCCCATTCACTTAATGCACTCATGGATGGATTCATGCACTTGATGATAAAGTTAGAAATTATGTGATCCAATCAGATTTTCAAAAGTTGCACCTCTGATTGAACACATGAGCCTTTTAGAGGACCTTTCCAATCAAACCATAATGCAGATGTTTCCTATTTTAAAATCTGTAATTTATTGTAATGCATATATCATAGACAGAAAAAAGTTAACACAAGTGTAATTGGTAAACATTTTGATCATCAAATTTATATCATTGTGAAATGATAAGAACATTGTCATTATTTTGAATCTGATGGATGGAAATCCAGACTTTATCAGGGATTAAGTACTATCCTTGAGCAAATCACTAAATTCATACACTTTTCATTTCAGAGAAGTTACTAAAAAGGCCTAGAGAAGCTGATCAAATCAGATAAACTCAGATAGTTCATCAGAGGCCAAAATGAAACAATTTTTTCCCCTCCCTGGTTCACAGGGTTACTTACATGGTCAAGAATTTGAAGTTTATTGCATTGTCTGCATTATCTCTGGTTGGTGGGTTCAACTTTAGGTGAACACAAGAATGAGTTACCCATTTGTTATTCATTGAAACAATAAAAAATTAAAATGATTAAAATGTGTGATGAAACAAACACAGCTGTGAGGCTCCAAGGTAAAGAAGAAGCAAATTCCTACTGAAGTTTATGACACTTAATTAGGTTGTTTTATCATTGCTTGAAACATGAGACAGCAGTTCCCATGCATAATGCTTACTTTGTCATCACAGGTATGGCAAACAAGCCTCTCCAGACCATTTTGAAGAAAGCCCAGGGCCCATAGGGCTGGATGATGTCAGCTGCTCAGGAAAGGAAACCAGTCTCCTTCAGTGTTCCAGGAGACAATGGGGAAAACATGACTGCAGCCATCGGGAAGATGTGGGCATCACCTGCCACCCTGGCAGTGATGGGCATAAACCCTCTCTGGGTGAGGACTGGCCACAGCTCTTGAGTATCCCATAATTCAGTAGCCGCCACCATGTCTCTAGCTGTTGATCTGGAAGGGAAGCTCTTTAAGAAAAAAAATCTTTTGAGTCCATTAATGTGACGAAATTTTTGTCCCTAGGAATTTGTTTTTTGTTACTTAGTTCAAACTTCTCATTAAAAATATTTGTTTCACATGCTCCTGAAAAGAGGAAGAAGCATCCATATCCAATCCACTATTCCTTGATCTCCTATCCCGATATTTATTTATCTTGAATTCTAACGAGCTATTTGGGACAGGACCAAAAAAGTAAGAAAATAATATTCCTTCCCCTCAGTCTCATGATTTATTTCCTCTCTAATCTTGTGGACTGTTCAGTCCTTGATCAGTGGCCATTTGTTTCTTTTCACATTTCTCAGGAGGCTTCCACTGGATTCACTGGAGTTAACATCTCACTCACCTTTGTAACATATACTGTTGTTTTAGTTAATTTTCTTGTTGCTGAGATAAAATACCCAACATCCAAAGTTAAAGGACAGGTTTATTTGACTCACAGTTTGTAGACTGACTCCAAGACAGCATTCAGGGAAGAGGGCCATTGCATGGGATAAGTAATCCACAGCAACTAGGCAGAATAGACCACATTAGTCCTCTTTCTGTCCCTTATAGTTTATGCAGGCTTTCCACCCTACTATGGGTATGGCACTCACACCATTAATCCTCACCAGAGCTATGTTAAAGCAATCAGCGAACTGATTTGGTAATCACACATCCTTGATCCTACCACCACACACTCTAGATCCAACCATCTCTGAAAAACCCCCTCTATGACTGCCTGAGGCTTTGAGAAGACATCTAGACACAAGCCATAACATTATGCACATCCCTTTACTCAAAAGGTATTTAGTCCATCTCTAAGAGTTTCCAAAGTCCTAACAGTTTTAGCATTGCTAAAAAGTCCAAGTCCAAAGTCTCCTCTGAGATTTAAGGCAAATTCTTAGCTGCAAGCCATTGTACAAATGAAAAAAAAGTTAAACATTTACATGTCCAAAATCCATATGCAGTATCTGAGGTAATCTGTGGCAAGATATGAACCCCAAAGGTCTTGGGTGACTCCACCCCTATAGCACTTCTGGTGGTTGTAGCTCCCATGACTTCTCTGTTGGGCTGAGTCTGCTCCCTCCTAGTAATTTTCCTCTGATGACCCACATTGCTCACTTCTGTTAACTTCTGTGTTCTCTACTGCACCTTTGGCTTCACACTCACAGTTTCACATACTGTCCTCTCAGGGACACACTGCATGGCATGCTAAGCCTTCTTCTGAAATCCGGATGGAAGCCTTCTTGACCCTACAACTCTTGCATTCTGCATGCACATAAAGTCAGCTGAATGACACCAGTTTGAAGCCAGCTGGAGTAGTAGCCAGGATTCCTGTTTTCTTGAGTGTGAGGGTTGAGTGCCTGAATCACTGAGCCCTCTGAACCCAGTCCAGAGGAAAAAATTCTCTAGGTTACTGCCATGCTGGAACAGAGTGCACTGAGGCTTCTTCTCAAAACAGCTTTCACCTTTGAAACTCTGAGGCTGTAAAGTTGGTGTCCTTCTGGTTCTTGTGTTACCCTCAGGCCATCTTTTCTGTTGTTTTCTTTTAAAAGACTTGGCTGTTTCTTTTCAGTCTTTTGAGCAACCAATTTCATCTCTGATCCACCTTTGCAGGCTGCAACTTTACTGTCCAAACTCAAATGTTTTGAGTCATTCTGCTGGGTTCTGTACTCTTGATCCTCAGCATATACCTGGCTTAAAAGTCCCCAAAGCATCCGTGTCACAGCCTTAACATTATACTTCCTTGAAATTTCTTCTGAAGGATTAATTAGTCTGCCATCCTTAGTCTCAGGCAATGTCTCTGGATATGAGCAAAATGCAGACAAGCTTTCTGACAAGGCATAACACATATATTCTGGAGTCCAACAGCCCATGCAGTCCTTATTCCCAAGATGTCTTTACTATCAGCATTCCTACCAACATTCTGGTTTTTTGAGCTTTGATTGGTTTCTTCCGTCAAGCACAGCCTCAGGCATTGCAGGGCTACTTTCTCAGCTGGCATCTCTGAATCTTCCCAAATTCTTCTCACAAGCCAATTCCAAATGTTCCTGAACCACCTGCTCAGTTATAGTCAGAACAATGACCCCACATGTCTGATACCAAATTTTGACCTACTTAACATTTCTTTGTTGCTGAGACCAGATACCGATACCCAAAATTAAAGGAGGAGAGGCTTATTCTGCTCAGTTTGTAGAGGTTTCAGTCCATAGTTGGTTAATTCCAAGACAAGGAGGCATGTCAAAGGGGCATTACAGAGAACAAATAGTCTGCAGCAAGCAGGAAGGAGAAAGCAACTAGCCTTCTGTCTATTCCTTATAGTTTTTGCAGGCTACTTGCCCTGGAGTGCATATAGCACTCACACCCTGGAGTAGCCAGACCTGTGCCAAAGCAATCAGTGGGCTGATTTAGTAATCACATAGCATCATGCATTCTAGATTCAGGTACCTCCCAAACCACCCCCACCACAGAGTGCATGAGGCTTTGTAGGGAACATCTAGACACCAGCCATAAAAGCTGTTATCTAGAAAGATACCGGGAATTCTTCCTGCTCCCCAATTACAAATTTCTTCAAACTAGTATTTAGATAAAAGATTCATAACAGTCTTGAATTAGTTACAGATTAAGATTCTCTAACAAAACATTCTTGACAAGTTCATAATGTATGATTAGGAGGGTAGAATAAACGTGAGGGAAAAAATATAGAGGGAAAAATTCAAAATACTTGGTAGGAGACTATGACATCTCTACTATCCGTACATACATACATTACATACATATGTACACGCATTTTTGTCTTATGTCTAAATAGATCTTAAGTCATTAGATAGTCCTTACTTTTAACCTCAGGATTCAGTCATTTCCTCTTGTATCTTCCTATTTTGAGATTGTAAAGCTGGAAATATGAACACAAAACAATAAAACTTTTTGAAGCACATGGTATTAACCACATTTCACACTTCCAATTTATCAATGTGTGTATATGGTTGTTTCCTCATTGTATTCTAAACTGTGGGATTGTGGTAACTCTGTACTAATTTAACATTATTTAAAATAGAAGTATAGTTTTTCACTTTGTTCTTTGTTGACTGTATTTTCAACTTTCTTTCTTTTCACTTATGGAGGACTCAGGCTCTCTTATGGAGGATTTACAATCCTCCCAGGATTATCTGGTTAAAGATTGCATGTGATTAGTGGGGACAGAACCAGTTTGTGAGAAATAGATGTTTGTCTGTGGTAGCAAGTATTTGGAACACGGAGTGATCTTCTCAGACATATCAGTATTCTGCTATATCAGTATTCCTACAACTCTTGTGAAGAACCCCTAAATTGAAGATACATTAATGAGAAATGCAGTTTCAAATATCCTATGTTTTGTGACATAGCTAAAACTCTGGTTTTTTAAAACTACTAATAAGTAGTTCATGGAACTGACATTGGTGATGGGGGATAAATATGCCCCAGGGTTGTTCTTGGCTTAAAGGTGGGATTCTTCTCCCTACATCTCTTAGATTTTCCTCTTTTTGGGTATAACTATGTCTAAATTTCTTCTTTCTGGAAGGACAGTTGTTATACTGCATTAGGGCCCACCATATTGACCTCACAAGGTTAGCCAGGTTAGCAAATCTCAGTAAGGGTGTTAAGTTAAACATCACCATATTTAGTGGTGAGAATAGAGATATTTGATAGTCCGTCAGTTACTTCATTTGTATAATTTAAGTCTCAGTATACTAGAGGTGTTCCTCAGTTTTTATATTTTAGTGATTTTTGACTTGGAATCAATATTCAAGCGAGACCCACTCAAGGTACTTATGTACACCAGTGTTGTATCTGTTTATGACTTCCTTAAAAAGACTATAGATTTTTTAGTTATTTATGTTATGAATTTCTAGTTATTTATGTATTTAAAAAGATGTGAAACAAAAACTATGGTAATATTCTTGTTCTACTATATGTTAGTTGTAATGAAATAATTTTGTTTGATCGTATCATTCATTCAACAAACAGCAATGCAGGTCATCTATGTGCCTTGTACTGTTCCAAATGTTGAAGATGCAAAGTTGGGCAAGGTGAGCACTTTGACCTGAGGACTTCAAAAGGCAGACAGAAGTGGATACAATTTTTTATTGATATCTCTTTTCTTTTTTTCTCTTTCACTCTCAAGAACAATGGTATTATACGTGTTTTAAAATAATAATTATGTTTTGTAGTCTCATGCTTTAGTACAAGTTTGCTTGTTTTGGCTTTTCTAATACTCTTGAATCATCACCTAGGTTTTCCTATAAGACTTATGGATGGAGAAAATAAAAAAGAAGGACGAGTGGAGGTTTTTGTCAATGGCCAGTGGGGAACAATCTGTGATGACGGATGGACTGATAAGGACGCAGCTGTGATCTGTCGACAGCTTGGTTATAAGTAAGGAAAACACTTATTTGCCCTGGATGTTTGAAAAAAGTTGGTTTTTAAAAAGGCTTATTCTAATGAGCTACTCCTTGTACAAAATTCATTTTTCTTTTTTTTTTTTTTTCATTCTGTTAAAATACTTGCAGCTTGCTGGTTTGATTGATTCAGAATTATGAAGAAGTATTAAGTACAATCCAGTCAAAATCCTTGTATCTGTCTTTTAAGAAATGTTATGTCACAAAGATCTGTAGCTTTCTATCTAGTAAAAATAGTCTAATAACTGAGAGTACTCATAATACTGCTTCTCTCAGCCCAGAGTGTTAACCTTTCCCCTGTGAGTCATGCTTCAACACTGCAGCCTTTTAAGGGAGTGCAGATTGTTGAAATTACAATAGTTTTTATTACTCAGTGGTAGTTACAGTCTAGAAAGTTGCTGTGAACACAGAATTAGCACATACTGAGCCATCGCTTAGAAGGCTAAGGTCCAAGCTCTGCTGTTATTTTGTTGCAGTCTATTTAGTGCCTTTTATATTCTTTGCATTCTGTGGAATGGGTGTATGATGATTTCACTCAGGAACAGTCTTCCAACATTGTGTTGAAGTGCTGTGTAGTGTTCCTAAGCACAGGAAAGCTAGGATGTGCATTGCGGACAAAATATAAGTGCTCAGCTTCCTTCGGGCTTGAGTAATGGTAAGAACACATGGCACTAGTAGACTGAAAAGAAGCCGGGGTACAGTTTTAAACAAGAACAAGGGAAGATCTGAGATCTGAAACAAAAGGCAGATCTCTTCTTAGACCTCAGCTGAGTGACTTACAGTTCTCCTGGCCCTGCAAATGTCCATGAATGACAGTGACATTTTTAGAGTTATATAAATACGGAAAAGCTACGTTCTTAAAAGAGACTTAAGCTTATATACACAATTGCCTAGCTCATAGTAATAAAATAATAATGGTTTGATTTGAAAATATATCCATGATTATATATTTATGTGTATTGTCTTAAGCGTTGATCAATTCAATTGGCTAATGCTAGGTAAAATACAAAATTTGTACTTTTAAAAGACTATTTTAATAAAAGTGTGAATATTTTTGGTAAGCTTTTAATTCAAATTTTATTTTTGGAAATTTAGGTACTATTTAATTTTATTGTTCAGTTTTAGACTCAGTTTTAATTCTAATTGCCTTAGGGTCAATTTGATACATATTTTCAGTTCTCAAAATATGGAGTAATTGAGGAGGAACACAGGGATAGTCTAGATTAGATGTACAGGTGAATTTAGTCAATGATTTATCTTAATTTGCCCTGCCATTACTCCTTCTTCCATTTGAAAAAAAAATTATGTTTGTTCTTGCATTATATTCCAGTGCATTTCCTTTCCTAAAATTGGACATTAACAGGTATTGCAGTTTGAGACTGGTTTCTTGGCTATACTTTTGTTCTTTTGGTAGTGATCCAAGGAAGCTACTTTACCTTTGGAAATATAAAGGGAAAGATGGGAATTAAATGTGATTCCAAATTGTGTGTCTCAGTCAAGTTTAAGACCAGAAGATGTTACCATGTGTCTTGGGTACTTTTCTCTTGTTGCTGAGATAAAGTACTCAACACTCAAAATTAAGGAAGGAAAAGTTTATTTAGCTCACAGTTTGTGGAGGTTTCAGTCCATCATCAGCTGGGTCAAAGGCAGAGTTGCACATGGCAGACGGTAACAGTTCATGGCAGTGGAAAACAAAAAGCAGCAAAGGGGGCAGATTGTGCAAGAGAAGACTCTTTTTGTCCCTTATATTGTATGTAGGCCACGCCCACTTGGGTGTGGCACTCACACCCATAATCTCAACATTGAACCTATGAATTATTCACAAATTCCAGAAGTCTGCCCCCATGACCACATGTGGTTTTGGGTGGGGCATCCAAACACAAACCATAACACTATGCATATTTATTAATGTATTTTTTTCTTTGATTTCTCTCTACCCTTTTTGTTGGGCTTTTGGGAGGTTGTCATTTAGTGCATTTAACATTCAAATTTAACCTGTGAATTTAACTTGATGTTAGGATGGCACTGTAAAAAAACTTAAACGACAGACAAAACAAATAAAAAGATGACAAGTGTTGGCAAATTCATGGAGAAACTGAAACCCTTGTGAACTGTTGGTAGGAATGTAGATTGATGCAGTCACAATGCAAAACAGTATGGAAGCTCCTCCAAACATGAAAAAAAAATGTAAAAACACATATGTGACTAGATCAGAGGATCTGTTTTTTATGCAAATTTGATAATGCATTGATTTAATAGAAATCAGTCCAGAAAAAATTTTAAACTGTTAAAGACCTGATCTTCTTTAATGGAAGTTCTAGTGATCTGCCCTGCAGCAAGCTACATCATGCTTGATGATTAGTTCTTGGAAACACTGAGAATCAAAATAACATTAGAGAGCATTTTTGTAATGAGAAAAACAGAAATGAGATAATAGAAACCAGGAAACATGAATGGCAAGTAATGTGATATGTTTGGAGTGAGCAGAAAAGTAAAAGGCATCAGTTAATGATGCATTACATAATGTCTGGCAAAGTCTAGCATTATTTTTACTGAACTGACAGAGAAGTGTTGAGATCAGTTCAATTCTTGAGATAGACTAAACAGCCATGATGGAAATTCCATTCTGTTTGAACTTTCTATGAATGTGTTTCAATATGGTATTGTTCTTGAAGAATAAATACACTGCTAGAGTCTATTCTCCAAAAGAATTTTTAAATGGTGTACCCTTTTATTTTAGCAGAGATCTAAAATTGGGTGCATCTAATTCATATCTTAAATTGAAATACTTGCAAAGCATTTCATTTATGGTATATTTGTATTGACATTTAAAACCCTTTATCATTCCTTAATATTCAGGGAAATACATAGTGATATAATCCTCTCTGATATCTATTTAAAAATGCTTGAATCAAATATACTTTCTTGACCTATAGGAAGTATACATAGTTAGTTTTCTCCTTGAAACCGTGTGCTAAATTTCCTTCCTGCATGCAGACACACGTGGAATCTGCAAGGCTATGAGGCACTTCTGTCCCTGTGGCTGACCCTGAAAATAGGGTTCTTCTTTTAAGCTCTCCATATGCCAATCCCACCCTCCTTACTCTACCATCACAAAGTAAAAACTACCTTGAATTTGGTGTCATTCCATTGACATTTTCATAATTTAGAGCAAGTTATAGCCTTAAACAATGCTTTTTTATTTTAAAAATATTATTTTTTCTTTTGGTACCGGGAATCAAACTCATGACCGCACGCTTGCAAGGCAGGCACGCCACTGAGCTAAATTCCTGGCCCTTAAAATATCATTTTCAAAGTAGGCAGTTACACTTTAGGTTCTTTTTTTTCAGTATTGCTTGATGCAAGTAGTTGTAACTAACTCATATTCTTTCTGCTCTGTAATATTAAATTACATCAATATCCATGTTTTTTATTTGCTCTGCTGATACTGAGCCACTTATATACCTTTCTTGATCTGTTTTCTGTTGCTTTAACTGAAAACCATAGACTGAATAATTTATAAAGAATAAAAGGTTGTTCACTTCACAGTTCTGGAGGGCAAAGTGTTAAGATGCCTAATCTAATGAGGCCTTTCTTGCCAGTGAGGACTCTGCAGAGGTCCAGGGTGGTGCAGAACATCATAAAGAAAGAGGGGTGCATACAAGAGACAGTCAATCTGGTAGCAGACACATTCACTCGTGAGAGAACCATTAACTTATTAATCCATAAATAGATGAGAGCAGAGATCTCATGATCCAAGCATGTCAGAAGATCCAACCGGTCCTACCTTAATGCCTTACCCAAGAAATTAAACTTCAGTGTAAGTTTTGACAGACATTCAAACCATAGCAATGTCATTTCTAGTTTTGGTATTAAAAATTAATAGCAAAGACTACTATGAATATGTTTACACTTTTATACTGTTACACTTGTGTAATATTTTTTACGGAATAGAATCAGGAGTAGGCTATGTGCACCGTCAGTTTTACCAAGAGCTGCAAGATTGCTTTCCCAAGTCTCTACAGTGTCTTACACCTCACTAGCAACAGTGATCTTTTTTGCATCCGTCTGTTGCTCCTCTGGTGGGTGCCTACTGTATCTTATTATTTATCCTTGATTACTAGTGAGATTGAACTGTTTTCATTTGTTTGATTAGCTTTTGGTGCTTTCCAATTAATAAAATGCCTTTTAGTCTCTTTGTATTTATCTTCCCTATTTTTCTCTTGTTTTTTTGTGGGTCCTGGAAATTGAGCCTGAGACGTAGCACTTGCCAGGCAGGCATTGTGTCGCTGAGCTATATCCCTGGCCCTCTCTTTGGTTTTAAAATTTTTTCTTAAATTGTTTGTGGAGTTCTTTGTTTTCCTCTACTTGAAAACGTGTATTAACCAATAAATATTATGAACATTAGCATTTTAATCATCTTTTCACATTCTTTAAAATAATAAATTTTTACTAAAGTGATATTCCTCATTTAATTTTGTTGAATTTACCAATCTTTTTGGTTTTCTATGATTTACTCTCAATGTTTAGCTTAATACATGTATATGTATGTGCATATATATATGCACATATATATCATTGTTGTTGTTTGCTTGCTTACTTTGTTTTTTGAGATAGGGTCTTGTTGTAGAGTTTAGGCTTCTCCTGAACTCACTGTGTAGCTCAGGCTGGCCTCAGCCTGGTGGCAATCCTCCTTCCTCAGTCTCCTGCTACCATGCCCAGCTTGTTTAATATATTTTTCTTAACTTCAGATTTTGAAAGTAGTTTTCCTGTAATTTAAACCTTAAAGCTTTTGCATTTCATAATTATGTTCATTGATTTATTAAGAATTGAGTGCATTTAAATATGGTGCATTTAAAATATGCTATTTCACCTAAAAGGGTTTATATTTGCATATTTAAAAAATGTGTTATTAAAGGAAATACATGACTGGGAGTGGTGACACATGCCTGTGATCTCAGCACTCAGGAAGCTAAGACAGAAGGATTGTGAATTTAAGGACAGCTTAATCTATACAACAAGTTTAAGGTCAGCCTGTATTTCATAATGAGACCTTGCGTGAAACAAACCAGCAAGAAAAATAGCACAAGTCTGGCTTCTCTTCATGATGCTCGGTTTTGTGTTTTGTGTTCTTTTTGCTTTAGCAAGAACTGTAATTTTTACATCTTAAGGAGGCAAATAAATTAGTTCCTGTGTTCCAGCCTGCTGATTATTTAATCTTATAATGTCATTGGCAAAATTACACCAATTTAAAGAGACTTCTATGCTCTTTAAGAAGGTAAAAAATTGTGTATGGGGTATTTTTTTTCCTGTTGATTAAAGGTTATCATATCTGACATGTCAGTAAGTGTGACTTTCTAAGAAGAAGGTAAATTAGATGCTACTTATTCCATTAAGTATCTATGAGGTATGACAATGAAGAAGGTATAGACATTACTTCTTCAATTTTTTGACAGTAATGAAATAAAGGATTTTTAGTACATGTGTATGCTAATTTTTATATGTAAAATTTGAAAATAAAGTTGAATTTGAGCATATGATGTTGTGAATTTGAGCATACGATGTTGTGATTTGTACAGATGTCTGAGTGACTGATTCTCCACATCCAGGGGTCCTGCCAAAGCAAGAACTATGGCTTATTTTGGGGAAGGGAAAGGACCTATCCATATGGATAATGTGGAGTGTACAGGAAGTGAGAGGTCTGTGGCTGACTGTATCAAGCAAGATATTGGACGTCACAACTGCCGTCACAGTGAGGATGCAGGAGTTATTTGTGATTACTTTAGCAAAAAAGCATCAAGTAATAGTAATAAAGGTAAGTACCCTTCTAGGGCACCAAAAAAAATCAGACTATTAATCCCTGATCATAACAGAAGCAGTACTTTGGTAACAAAACTCCATACAATGAGAATGTACACAGTCCCTTGTTTTTTCTGCTACTATTTAAAGCCCAGGTTTTTTGGCAAATGTGCCCATGTGAAACTTACAGGCATAATGGAGTTCAGGAGCAGGAGTGGATTCAGAAGATTTACCATCTTTGAAATAAATCCCTTCTTGCATTCTTAGCCATTTCTGTATCATTTGTTTGTTGGCTAGAATAAAGATGTCAGGTATGAGGGGCTGGGGATTTAGCTCAGCGGCATAAGCGCCTGCCTTCCAAGCAGGCAGTCGTGAGTTTGATCCCTGGTACCGATAAAAAAAAAACGAAAAAAAAAAGATGTCAGGTATGTTGTTATCCCTGAAGATTCAGAATTGACACCTATTTCCTAAAAGGGAAAAAAATGAAAATATACAAATGAATCAAAGAAAGACACTCCAATTTTGTTAATATTTAAACAAGCATACTTTTAAATGAATTTTAAGAAGAAAAAAACCTTTTGTAGATTTTGTTCTCCAAAGTTAAAAAATAAAATTAGAATAAAGGGAAATATTTGCATAGTACAGTAGATATTTCCTACTTAGAGTTCTTGACAGTGCTGGGTACATTCAATTTTTATGAAATAAATGTTTCTTTAAAAAGAACAAGTAGGAGAATTAGCCATTTTGGAGAAATCTGTGATTATGTTTTATGAAAAAAATTTATCTGGATTGAGAGTTCTTCGTTTTCATGTACTTGAGCATTCTCTTTTAGTACATTTTAATAACTTCTAAAAATGCAATAAATGAATGTTGTTAAGATGATTCTTCATGTATAAGGGGCTTCTAAGTGTGAAAAGAACAGTTGGTAAACCTGTTTTCCCTGAGCGATGACTACAATTTAATTTATTAAATTTCCTTCTCCATATTAAATTATACATAAAAGTTGAATATAACTAGTTCTTTGGATTTATCAAATTCTTAAACAGTTGGGAAATGTAAACTTTCAATAATTTCAAAATGTTTTACAATAGCATATGAAACTATCCTAACTATGACATGTCATAGATTTGTTTCATTACTTAAGCATTTGTGTCTATGCTTTCATAGAGTTGTTATATGTTATTTTAAATCTCTTTACATGATAGGTAATGCTATCATACCTCACTAAAATGATTTCATCTAGATAATGATTTCTAGCTAGGTAAAAGAATCTGGCTTCCTTTTTTTTTTTTTTAACACGATTTTGTTGTTCAGCTCATGGTGGCCTTAAACTTATTGTATAGCCAAGGCTGGCCTCGAACTTGAGCAGTCCTGCCTCAGCCTCCTGAGTGCTGGGGTCACAGGGATGCACCACCATGCCTAGCAAGAATCTGGCTTATTAACACATCGATTTTGTGTTGAGGCTTAGAATTGGAAATTTCTTTAAAATGACTAAAATCAAGATATTAGTTATTGGCCATCTAATGAGCTCCTTTTATCAATGAACTTGATACTGCTTCTCAATTTGTTTTACAACAGAAAAATGTTTAAATAGATTTTTACTTCTTGCAATCAAGTACTTTAAGCCAGAATGAGGTAAACTTCATGTTTTGCTTGCTCAGTGTTACATCATTTCTTTTCTTGGCATCATTTACATCAACCAGGCTTGGAGCATTATTGGAAACTTACGTTTTTCTAATAGCTTTAAATTTGCAGTGTCATCTAGGATACTCATATCTTAAGAGATGAAGGTTAAAATTTTGACAGCATGCCTCTGAGATCATTTGGCAAATTAATCATCCTGATATACACTGTTGAATTTCTTTCTCTATCAAGAAATAAACTATTGATGATTTCCTCTTGTGCCCCCTCCAGCTGGTTATTGTGAGAGACCATTAGTGCTGATCAGGTTTTCATGATCTTCGCAGAATCTTCATGTGCATACTTAAGCAAAGTACCTCTCTATAAATTCTACTTTACAAAATTACTTTATAAATTAGTCACATCTTGTTATATATGCCCTTATTTTGTGGATTTTCCCATATTTTTCTCTCTGACATCAGGGATTGAATGCAGGGTCTCACACATGCTAAACAAATGTTCTGCCACTGAGCTGCATCCCTGACCCTTACCTTTTCACATGCTTACATGTTTTTAACTTAACTCTTCTCATTTACAAATTTTTTTTTCCTGCAGTATTGGAAATTGATTCCAAGATTTTGTAGATGCTCGGCAAACATTCTAACAATGAGCTACAATCCCTAGTCATGTTTGTATATTCTTGACAGAAGATGCTTTCTTGGAACACTTGACTAGATACTCTTAAATGTAGTTTGTCACTTAACCTGATGTATGAGGCCTTTTCTACTTAATATTCTATATTACTATACGTGTTCTCAGAATTCTTTTTGGGAGTGTGCCTTGCTTGTCTGAACTACATTTCTATACTTGGCTTTGAATAATTTTCTATGTTGAAAGTAAATCATTTGGAACATTACTGCCTTTCAATTCTACCTTTTTTTTCAAATGTTTCCAAACATCAAAATAACCTCTATAATCAGCAAAAGAAGGTATAGTTACCCACATAAAACTTTTCAGAGTGGAATGATGTGAAGCTTCATAAAGTTTTTTTCTGCTTGCAAATTATTGTCATTTGGTTAAAGAAAATCTGTTTTTACGAAAATTAAAATATTTCATAATTTTCAAAGCAAAGACACTTTTTTAAAATAGAAAAGAAGTACGAAGGCAATGTACCAGTTCTATTTTTAGCCCTCTGTGAGCACTGTGATAGTGAACCATTGACCCATTTCTGTTTCAGAGTCCCTTTCCTCTGTCTGTGGTTTGAGATTACTGCACCGTCGGCAAAAGCGGATCATTGGGGGGAAAAATTCTTTAAGGTAAAGGGGTCTTTGAAGGACCTTTTCCATGTTATAGAATAAATAACACACATACAGTGGTGCCAACCTGATTTTTGTATTATTATGCAAGAAATTTGTTGTATCCGTTTTCTTTCCCAAATTAAGTACTGATTACAGTGATAATTTCATTGTCGCTTGACCTACATGTAATTTATGCAGATTGTGTTTCTGTATCATTATCTCATGAGACAGATGTGTTGCTCAAAAGTGATGTGGCAGGAAACCATAAAAAAAAAAGAAAGGAAACTGGAAAAATATGTAACTGTGAAGATTTAATTGATTTAGAATATATTTGTTTCTGGTTTGGTTCGTTTTAATATTGTTGCTGTTTGCTTAATTAACTTATAGGAAACCAGCACTTTGTTTACCAACTACTTGTTCAGGCTACTTAGGTGAGCTAGAGGGGAGGACAGAAATTATATTCTAGGCATGAAATATAAAAGAGACTCAGTTTGTTTCAAGGAGCAGTGTCAGATGGGGGATGCGGGCAGATGTCTGGAAGCACCTGTTTAGAGATAGTGACGGTCTGCTTAGTTTGGGGCTCGTTCTCCAAACAGAAAGGCATCTACCATCCTGGAGTGCCTTTTGAGTTCCTTCACCTCCTCTCCCTCCACAGGACATGAAAAATCATTAAAACCTTTGGCCAAACTGTTGCTTTTCTTTGCTTTTTCCCTGTAATGGACCAGTGGCTCGCTTTCTTCTCAGGGGTGGCTGGCCTTGGCAGGTCTCCCTCCGGCTGAAATCATCTCATGGAGATGGCAGGCTCCTCTGTGGGGCCACGCTCCTGAGCAGCTGCTGGGTCCTGACAGCAGCGCACTGTTTCAAGAGGTATGTGTGCACTTTTTTTTTTGACTGGGCTCTGCCTCACCAGTTGTGCCATCCAGTCCTTCCTGCCCAGCGGCATTTGGGGTGCCAGAGCCAAGCTGGAAGGCTCCCCTATCTGTGTCAGCAGCGTTGTGGCAGTGAACCAAGCCGCATACAGAACAGAGAATCTGCAGGAAGCCACTCACTGTCCTGGTGTTAAATGAAGCTCTGGGTCCAGGGAAAAGAGAAGATGAATTTGGGGAGGGGACGTTGTGTTCCCTCAAGAGCTGACCTGAGCTGGAATCACATCCCCGTCAAGGTAGAAGTGCCTTTAGGTCATCAGGAGTGAATCCTGCAATGCTGTGAGCATCATTTTAACATCTTTGATGCATCCATCTGTTCCATGTTTTGTGTCTCTTAGAATTCTCCATTTCCACCTTCTGGAAAGTCAGATTGCAGCTATTTCATTTTTGGCTATCATGTAATTTAGAGCTGATTATTTCCTTTTGGCCCAAACATTTCAACAGTCTATTCTGTAGTCTTGCCAGATAATCAGCACTGCAGAGTTGCAGAGTTCACATTTGCAGTAGTTATTCCCTTGTCCAAAGCTCTTTTGACCTTTTTGCTCTACTTAATAGCTATTTCCTCAGCATTAATTTTGGCATTTTTTCAAAGATGTATACCATCACAATGCAAAATATTGATAATTACTGAAGAAAGGTATTAAGTACAAGAAGTTTTATTATGCTATCTTAATTTTGTTTTGGAAAACAGGAAACAAAAAGGAAACAAAAAGAATATGTACTACATAGTTAAAAATTTAAAAAAATTTAATGATCTTTTGTTCTTCTTCTTCTTCTTCTTCCTCCTCCCCCTCCTCCTCCTCCTCCTCCTCCTCCTCCTCCTCCTTCTCCTCTTCTTCCTCTTCTTCTTCTTTTTGAGATTTACTGTGTAGTTCAGGCATTGACCTCAATGTGTAGCCAGGCCTGCCTTGAACTCAGGGCAATCCTCTTGCCTCAGTCTCTTCAGTACTGGAATTACAGGAATACACTACTGTGCCCAGCTTGCAAATTCTTACATATCTTTGTTTCTAGGATATATAAGACTATATCCTATTTATCTATTTTAACCAGTATTTGTGGAGGAATTTTCTATGTTTTGTTCACATTATACAAATCTACATTTTAAATAATGTTTACCATTTCTAGAATATAATTGAATTTGAGATTTCACTTAGATATCAGCCGGTTTAATGTATCTCTGCATTGCATGAGTGACAATTACAATTAAGATTATATTCACTCTTCACTTTAGTAGTTTTTCAGCCTCTGCTATTCTCAGGCATAGTCTATGCACTAATGATAAAACAGAAAACAAGACAGGTGGGATCCTTGCTGTCAGAGTTTATGGAACAGTAATATGACTCTGGAGATGGGAAACACTGATGTTGCTGGAATGACCGAGTCTAGGGCATCCTCTTTAAAATGTGCTATTTTCGCTACAATATTAGTTTCAGTTAGCTTGTTAAAAACTCAGGTTTCTAGGCCCCTGTCTACTAAGTTTTTGGAGCTGAGACTCAAAAGTTGACATTTTTATCAGTCATCTCGGAAGATTCTTATGTGCTACAAAGGTTAAGAATCACTTAATGGATAGAATTGGATATGATCTGGATATTTGAGGAATGAAGGAGAATATAGTGGAGCTGACAGACATGGATCCTTGTCTCGTTCACCATATTAACTGCTAAGCTGAAAAAAGATTCCTATGGGAAGTTAATTACTGTTTTGGATGCCATAGGATTGGGAGAGATTAGTGGTGTATTATATGTTTGGAGATAGGACTGTAGTGGTAAAAGATGTTGATGACCTGATTCTAGTAATATTGGATAAAGATGATGAAATTTGGCTTAAATACAATGCAAGTGAAAAAGCTCATAGGATTTAGTGTCCTGCAATGTTACTACATGTCAGCAATGTAATGTGATTGCCCACAACATTACTTGTCTTGGACAACACTGATGGCAGAGGTTCAAAGCAGTGAGAAGCCTTATTATTGTGTTTACTGGGCTCAAGCTATTATTGGTGAAAAAAAGCACTGTTCCTATCAGAAAGAACTGTGCTCAGTTCTGACTGCTATGACTTGAAAAAATGAAGGGCCATTAAACAGAAAGCAGAGATGATGTGCACTCTGATTAGGTTTGTTGTCCATTATTTCAAATGCCACAGATATCAGAGGGAGATAAGTTTTGCTTTAACATAAGAAAGTTTTTTTGCGGTTATGTTTTATGTCTTTAATGCTTCTACAGTGCAAAGGTAGAATGAACTATAGATAGAAGGAAATGTGTTGTTGTGCAGTCTGTAAGCAAGGTTTAGAGTATGGTGATGGGAAAGGATGTGCCATCCTCAAGTATGGCAGAGTGCACCATGGGTATTACTAGCTGGTTTATCACAATCAGGGTTTGCATGGTGACTAAGCAGAGAGAAAGAGGGAAGGCCTGGAATGATAAAGCTGTCATTTTTGTTTGATTCCAGGCAATGGGAACAACGGAAGGTTTCTAAGCATCAAGATGTGATAAAAGAGGAGTTTTGGAGATGAGTGATTTGCAGATGTATTGGATAGGTTTGAGGGTGTAACACAAAAATCTAAGGATGTTTTAATGACCTTGAAGTTATATAAATGATTCTTGCATATGTACTTGAGTACCTTTGAATGACTCAAATATGTCTATTTTACCAAGTGATAAAAACCTATTATGGTAGGAACTAGAGAGGCTGTGTGGAAGGGCCTGACTTTTTTATTTTTCTACTGGAGGGAGACCAGTAATAATTAAGGTAGATGGGAGAACTGAGAACAGTGTAACAGAAGGAGAATTGAGTCTGGCCACTAGTACTGAGGTGACAGCTCCAGCTATTCTGATTGTTGTTTAACTTTACTGAAATTATTAAACTTCTTGGAGGTTCCGTTTACTAATTGTGAAATAAAGGTAAAACATTGCAGTGAGCAAATGATGTTATGAGCCTTAATATCCAAGACAAATATTGATTGTTATTATAGTAGGGATCAGTGAGAGAAAACTAAAGAATATATTAGCAAAAGTAGGGAATTGTGGAAAACTGTAGAGAACCTGGATTCTGTTTTGGGGCTTGGAATGTATACAAAGTAATTTAGTATTTTAATTATTATCTTTCTTTTATTCAATACCTTTTATCTTTCCAATCACAACTAAAAGTTATATACATATGTATTTTTTTCAACTAAACATTATAGTCATGGTTTCAGGCTTAAAAATGTAAGATTGATCAAAAAGTTGAGATTGAAATTGAAAACTTCAATTTGGACTTTTGTTCTTCGTGGAACAAATTTTTTTGAGGAGGAGTAATGTTGAATTTATTTGTGGTATGTCACTATTCCTCTCTTAGCCTTCCACTAGATAACTACTTAAAGTCAGTAATTATCCCCCTTGTGTGTATAGACCAAGTGTCTAACATATTCCTTGGCACATCTTAGATACTCTAATGATTGTTGCATGATTAAAGTGAGGCTCAGTTGCCAGTTAGTGGATATTCTTAAGAATGTTGGCTCTTTAGAGGCTGGTAGTTATTTTAAACCTTGATCAACAGATAACTCCTTCCATATGTCATTTGGGATTTCTTCCCATTGTTTATACAGGATAAGATAAAGAGAGTTAGTTAAAGAGCAGAGGAATTCTTATGATATGCAGTATTTTCATAGGCTTTGGTTGTAATACAAAATTCTACTGTGAGTAGAGGGAAAACTATTTTGTAAATGTGTTACATGTCCATCTGACTTGTCTACAAGTCTTGCTGGATTTCATAGATTTCCTGTTTGAAGTGCCTAGGATGCTCAAACACTCCATTTTATTGAACGGTATAGAGCAAGTTACTAGTGATTAGGACAAGCCCCCAAATTTGTTTCTCTAGAGTCAAGGACTTAGGTTTAAAACAATCCTCCTTTAATCATGAGGATTTTCAAAATGAAGACTGGTATAGAAGCAAAGTAGTCAGACCCTTTACTTTTAGATTTCTTAGGGATTGAGAGATATATTAGTTTAAGTTAAGACCTATTGGTAGAGGACCTGGATTCATATTTGAAATAAACTGTCCCACTTCCTTTTCCTATTTTTATTCCCTGTGCTTTGTCAACTGCTGGACTTTCATGTACAAAAAGGTTTCTCATGCAGTCAGCCTTATTTGGTATCTGCTTCTTGCAGTGGTAAAGGGGTCAGTGCCCTTGAACAGCCACTTCTGAACAATACAGTGTAAATTGTTACTACCATCTTACTTTATTACAAGGAAACAAGAGCCTTTTGTTTTACCATCACAAAATAATCACTATTTTATCTCATCCTCATATCGGAACAGTCCAAGAATGATGAGACTATCACTCTGATCTGATCCTGAGGAGGATGAGATAAAAATGTCATTATTTCAGATCCACCATTTCACACAGGGTAGTCTTTTTATGGATACCATACTGCAAGACTCGCAGAACTGTGGGAATCCAACTCTTCGTCTCTCATAGTGTTCATAGATTGTGAGGCATCCGAAGCACAGACTTCCCACATGACAGTGCACCAAGAGTATCTCAAGTAGTTGGTAAATCACAAAGGTTTTAGAGCTCATTTATTTCACATTTTTCCTAGTGCTAAAGCAATAAGAGTTTAGAATGTAATATACCATTCAAAGTTTGAAGTGGAAATATGGATAAACTTTTATTGCAGTTGTTCTGTGAATCTGTCATAACATAAACTGCTTGCTTTTGCTACTATTTTAAGTCATTTCTACAAAGTGCCGTGAAATGACCTGTGTCTGTAGTGATACAGCCGTATAATTAAGGGAGAAGTTCCTGAATATTAAACTAATTCCTTTTAATTGCTTATTCTGATAACAAACACAATTTTGGAGAAATGAATGTACCTAAAACAATGACTCTCTTATTTTGGTAATTCTACTCTAAATTTGATATGCTTAAGAATTTTTTTGACTGATTTGTATCTTTTTGAC